AGGAAGGCCTCCTCCTTCCTCTCCACAATGTTGTGGAGAACACAACAGGCTGAGATTACCTCAGGGATGTTGTGCTCCCCCACCACAAAGTGGGTCAGGAGGCACCTGAACCGCACCTTTAGGTGCCTGAAGGTACACTTGACTTGGATTCAGACCTAGCTGAGGTGGGCATTGAATTGGTCCCTGCTGGGGTCAAGGTGGCCCATGTAGGGCTTCATGAGCCAAGGCATTAGTGGGTAGGCTACATCCCCGATGAATCACAGTGGCATCTCCACATCCCCCACACGAAAGTCACACTGAGGGAAGAATGTGCTAGCCTCCAGCTTCTCATAGAGGCTGGCCTTTTTGAAAATGCGGACATCATGTGCTCTGCCCAACCACCCAACGGAAATGTCCATAAACTGTCGATGGTAGTTGATCAGTGCCTGCAGCACCATCAAGAAATAGCTCTTCCTGTTGATGTATTGAGTGGCTTGCTGATGTGGTGTTTGGATCAGGATGTTGGTTCCATCAGTTGTTCCCTCACAGTTGGGGAAACCCCAGGGCAGCAAATTCTGTGATGACTGGATCCAGGTCTCCCAGGCAGATGACTCTGTGTAGTAGGAAGAAATTGATGGCCATCACAACCTGCAGAAGGAGACAAAGAAATACACAAAACAGAGAATCAAAGGGCGTGCCTGAGCCCTTGGGAGGTGCCTGTCCCCTCTCCCCCTTTCAAACACCTGAACCTCACCAAAAGCCATCCCTTATGACGCCGCCCCCTGGCAGGACTGTGTGAGGGTGGGACTGAAGAATCCCTGGGGGACGGGACTTCCCCGCACCTTCAGCCCACCCCCAGACCCGCACCCCACTTTCACTAGGGTCACCCTTTCCAGGACTCCACCCCCCCTGCTGGGACAGCAGCTTGAGAGTGCCTTTCCTCCATGAGGAGGGCCCCGACAGTGGACTTCCCCATGTCGAACTGGTTGCCCACCAACCAGTAGCTGTCTGGGGTGGTGAGCTTCCATACGGTGATGGAGACTCTCTTCTCCAGGGGGATGACGGGCCGCAGGTGGGTGTTCCATCCTCAGGGTATGTCTACACTACCCTCCTATTTCGAAATAGGAGGGTAGTGTAGACATACCCTGAGGATGGAACACCCACCTGCGGCCCGTCATCCCCCTGGAGAAGAGAGTCTCCATCACCGTATGGAAGCTCACCACCCCAGACAGCTACTGGTTGGTGGGCAACCAGTTCGACATGGGGAAGTCCACTGTCGGGGCCCTCCTCATGGAGGAAAGGCACTCTCAAGCTGCTGTCCCAGCAGGGGGGGTGGAGTCCTGGAAAGGGTGACCCTAGTGAAAGTGGGGTGCGGGTCTGGGGGTGGGCTGAAGGTGCGGGGAAGTCCCGTCCCCCAGGGATTCTTCAGTCCCACCCTCACACAGTCCTGCCAGGGGGCGGCGTCATAAGGGATGGCTTTTGGTGAGGTTCAGGTGTTTGAAAGGGGGAGAGGGGACAGGCACCTCCCAAGGGCTCAGGCACGCCCTTTGATTCTCTGTTTTGTGTATTTCTTTGTCTCCTTCTGCAGGTTGTGATGGCCATCAATTTCTTCCTACTACACAGAGTCATCTGCCTGGGAGACCTGGATCCAGTCATCACAGAATTTGCTGCCCTGGGGTTTCCCCAACTGTGAGGGAACAACTGATGGAACCAACATCCTGATCCAAACACCACATCAGCAAGCCACTCAATACATCAACAGGAAGAGCTATTTCTTGATGGTGCTGCAGGCACTGATCAACTACCATCGACAGTTTATGGACATTTCCGTTGGGTGGTTGGGCAGAGCACATGATGTCCGCATTTTCAAAAAGGCCAGCCTCTATGAGAAGCTGGAGGCTAGCACATTCTTCCCTCAGTGTGACTTTCGTGTGGGGGATGTGGAGATGCCACTGTGATTCATCGGGGATGTAGCCTACCCACTAATGCCTTGGCTCATGAAGCCCTACATGGGCCACCTTGACCCCAGCAGGGACCAATTCAATGCCCACCTCAGCTAGGTCTGAATCCAAGTCAAGTGTACCTTCAGGCACCTAAAGGTGCGGTTCAGGTGCCTCCTGACCCACTTTGTGGTGGGGGAGCACAACATCCCTGAGGTAATCTCAGCCTGTTGTGTTCTCCACAACATTGTGGAGAGGAAGGAGGAGGCCTTCCTACCAAGATGGGGGGCAGAGGCTGGCTGGGAGAGAAGGGCCTTCAAGCAGCCACAGACAGTTGCCATCTTCCAGGCTTATCAGTTGTGGGTGCGCATCCAGGAGGCCCTGAAGGAGAGTTTCTCTCAAGGATCCAGTAACTCACACTAGGGCCTCCCCACTAGGGGCCTGTGCCTTGCCCTCTTTTCGCTTTCCCAGCACAACCCCTCCCACCCCCCTTCCCTGTACTCTCAATAAACACACCTGTTTTGAGAGTACACATCCACATACGCATAGCAAGAGGTTTACTGCCATCGGAAACTTTGTGAAGAAGAACTTTCTGTTATTAGTTTGAAGCCTGCTACCCATTCATTTCATTTGGTGTCCTCTAGTCCTTCTATTATGGGAACTAATGAAGAACTTTTCTTTATGCACCCTCTCCACACCACTCATGCTTTTATAGACCTCTATCATATCCCCCCTCAGTCTCCTCTTTTCTAAGCTGAAAAGTCCCAGTCTCTTTAGCCTCTCTTCATATGGGACCTGTTCCAAACCCCTGATCATTTTAGTTGCCCTCTCCTCTCCCACCCTCTCTCTTCCCCTCTCCCACCTCCTTTTCCCAGTCTCCCCAGAGGTTAACCTCCCCCCCCGTATTGTTAAATAAAGAGAGTTTCTATTTTTGAACACACGTGTCCTTTATTTTGTACATCAGGAAGGGGGGCTAAGGAGGGGTAAGTGGAGGAGGTGAGGGAGGAATGGGGTACGAGCCCCTAATGGGGAGGACTGGGGTGGCTCTGCGGGCTCCTTGGGGTGGAAGCTCTTCTGCAGCCCCCCGATTTCCTCCTCCCCCCGGATGGCAGCCTGCGGCAAGTGCAGCCGGGCTGATGGCCGAGTGCTGTGATGTGCCAAGTGTGGGCACTCCAAGCCAGGACTGCTTTGCTGTCCTCCATCGAGTTAGACAAGCAAGCAGGGAACCCCTGAGAACTGTCTGTCTGGGGTGGGGGTCGGGTCCCTTTAAGCACAGCCCTCGGCTAGCCTGAGATAGCAGCTCCACGCTCTAAGTCCTAATCTGATGCCCTGCCGGCACTGCTTCCGGCGAGCCTTAACCTCTGTTCAGGGTCCACTCAATGTGGACAAGCTAGTTCGAATTAGCAAAATGCTAATTCGAACTAGTTTTTAGGTCTAGATGCACTAGTTCAAATTAGCTTAGCTTGAATTAACTAATTCGAATTAAGTTAGTTCGAATTAGTGCTGTAGTGTAAACATACCCCTAGTGAAATAGTTTTTCCTAATATTTAGCCTAGACCTCCCGCACTGTAACTTGAGACCATTGTTCCTTATTCTGCCGTCTGTCACTACTGAGAACAGCCTTTCTCCATCTTCTTTGGAACCTCAGCCTCTCCTCATAGGTCATGTGCTCCAGCTCCCTAATCATTTTGGTTGTCCGCCTCTGGACCCTCTCTAGTGCACCCACATCCTTTCTGTAGTGGTGGGCCTAGAACTGTACGCAATACTCCAGATGTGGCCTCACCATTGCCGAATAAAGGGGAATAATAACATCTCTACATCTGCTGGAAATGCTCCTCCTAATGCACCCTAATATGCCCTAATTAGCCTTCTTGGTTACAAGGGCACACTGGTGACTCATGTCTAACTTCTCATCCACTGTAATCCCCACGTCCTTTTCTGCTGAACTGCTACTTAGCCACTTGGCCCCCAGCCTGTAACAGTACTTCGGATTCTTCTGTCCCAAGTGCAGGACTTTACATTTGTCTTTGTTGAACCTCATCAGATTTCTTTTGGCCCAATCCTCCAATTTGTCTAGGCCACTCTGGACCCTATCTCTACCCTCCAACATATCTACCTCTCCCCCTTGCTTAGTGTCATCTGTAAACTTGCTGATGGTGCAATCCATCCCCTCATCCAGGTCATTAATAAAGATGTTGAACAAAATCGGCCCTAGAACCGATCCTTGGGACACTCCACTTGAAACTGAGTGCCAGCCTGTCATCGAGCCATTGATCACTACCTGTTGAGTCTGACAATCTAGCCAGATTTCCAACCACCTTACAGTCCTTTTATTCAATCCATACTTCCTTAACTTGCTGGCAAGAATATTGTGGGAGATCATATCAAAAGTTTTGCTAAAGCCAAGGTATATCACATCCACTGACTTTCCCATGTCCACAGAGCCAGTTACCTCATCATAGAAGCTAATCAGATTGGCCAGGCATGACTTGCCCTTTGTGAATCCATGTTGACTATTCCAGATCATGGTCCCCTCTTCCAAATGTTTCAAAATGGATTATTTGAGGATTACCTCCATGATTTTTCCAGGGTCTAAGGTGAGGCTGACTGGTCTATAGTTCCCTGTATTGTCCTTCTTCCCTTTTTAAAAAATGTTTTGCTTAATAAAGGTCAGCCCTAATAAGGGTGCATAGATTGTGTCTTAAAGCAGTGTCAGAGTTGCTGTGATGCTATAATGTGCATATCTTATTAGATTTAAGACTTTCTGTAAAGTTCCCTTACTGTTATGGAACATTGAAGATGATATCACTAATATATTCACTGTAAAAAAAGACAGGTGTGCATTTATCTCATGTTAGCTAACTTAGTAGCAGTGAAGATAAGACAACTTGTTTTAGCAGCTCAAGTTGAAGTCAATAGTGGAAGAAATTGAGGTTGAATTGAACTGCTAATTTGAATGGGAGTTGCACCTAAAATACTTCTGCATGTATACTGTGGCCTCTGTCCGTTCATCTTAATATCTTGAAAAGTCTAGATTCATTCTAAAGATATCATCTATGTGTTTTTATTTATTATTTACAGATAAGAAAATACCTTTTAAGAGGGTAAACTATGATCAGTTGGATGCATTATGTAGCATCAATGGACTACGAAACAGGTAACTATCTAATGAATACACTTGTTTCTGTTGGTTGTTTTGTTAGTAAAACAATTCTTAAAATGCGATTATGGTTGAAAAGTCTGTGTGAATGTGCAGCCCTTTTACCACACAGGTTTGCTACCTGTATGTATTATAGTCTTTCTTTGGTGACAAAAATAGGTTGATATCCCTTTTTATTTCTTTACTTCTTTATTCCAGAGCCAGGAGAGCTATAGGAGAGTGAAGTGAGTTATTTGACAGCAATAACCCACTCCAGGGTGTGCAGTGTGAAGTTATTAGTAAATGCCAGTATGCTTCAGTTATGCAGAAGGGTGTTGAATCGATTACTAATACATACCTTGGGGAAGGATTAGTGTTATAACTAACGGCATACCTTTTAGAAATTGGAGTGAGAAGTGTATGTGTAGGGGAGGGTAAGGGTATCATGTGCCCTTGCAATATGAAAAATGCTTCATATTAGAAGAACAAGAGAACTCAGGACATTACAAACAGTTCTTTTCCTACTGTTTGAAATGTATTTCCTGTTCACCACACTCTCTTCTCTTTTTAAACCTGTTTGGACTATGTTCTGGTCACACCCATGAACCAGCTGCCCTTTCAGCAGCAATTTCTGGCCCATCAACCACTTTCAATTTTTTTTTTGGTCAAAATAAAACACACAACCTCTCCCCCCCCCACTACCACCTCTCCCAGTTTGGCAATTCAATCCATTCCCAGTTTAGGTCCCATTCCTGTGTAGCTTTTTGTAAGTATTCACACATTGAACTTCTATGTCCCATCCTCTCCAATAGGATTCCTCACCAGCTTAAAGTTGAAGCACAGAGAGCAAGTATTTGTAATATTAGGCTTCAAATTGGGCACTTATCAATAGTCCAAGTTTAGCTTTTTGGAGTATTAAGTGAATTAAGAATATCTCAAATTGTGATCTAGATGCTTCTGCTGAAAGAAGAGTGTCCATCTTATCCTCCAGCTTTCTCTTCCCTCTGCTTCCTCACTTCACTCTTCCGCCTTGTATACACAGAACTACTTATAGCATCAAGCCCTTGATTGCCAGGAATATCCTTTGTACCCTTAAAAACCCTATTTTTGTCTTGTTAAAGTGTATTAAAAACTGTGCAAAAGAAGCAAAGAGGACTCCAGTACCCTATCATATCCCATTCATAGTGTTCTGGTAAATAAGCTTTCTGGGACAAGGCCTCTGTTTGCTCTGTGTTTGTACAGTGCCTCATTCAATGGGATCCTTGATTGAGGTGCCTATACCTCAATATAAATAAACAATGCACATCAGAGAGATGAAAGCTCGAATCTGAAGACCGCTGTCTTTAATCAGGTTTCTCTATCTACCACAATTAGAAAAAAATGGTCATTAAAAGTTCTGTTTTGTGAGTGTGCAAAATCTCAGTCTCAGTTCTGCATTAGTGCAGCCTGTTCATTTATCTTAGTAAAATCCAGTTGTTTGCATGTGTAGTGAGTTGCTTCTCACATTTTGGATGAGATTAAATGTCATGCAAATCATTTTTTTCTATAAATATGCAGCCATCCAAAGCTTTACATCTAAGATTTTGTTTTCTAATTAAAAATAAGATTCAAGGCATATTAATAATTATGTAAATAAACTAAGTCACCTGCAGGGTTCAATGACTACTTTACTTATTGTTGATGCTGCAATCCCACAACCCAAGATAGAGCTGTTTATGGGCAACAGCAAAAGAATGGAGAGAAAAGAGAGTGGGGGGAAAGAAGAGGTAGAAAGCTCTGATCACATCTCTCCTAGTAAGGACCATCAGAGGACGATGAAAAAGGTAGAAAGGCAAAGGCATTTTGAGTAGAGCAAGAGCTCCTCTATATCTGAGCATATGTGCATCCAGTCTTACCCTTCACTCCTAAGAAAGATGTCTTCTGTTACATAGCACACTCATCTCACTGTCCCTATCAGACATCCAGCCATCTCTGCAAACTTCCTGCTATCAAAGTCATGCCTCCCCAAATGTACTTTCCTTTCTTCTGGGAGGGCAGAGACCCATGCTTCACCTGTTTCCATCCAAGGTAAGTTGGATCTGAGTTTAAGCCTCTCTTGGATTGAGTATCAGAGGGGTGGCCGTGTTAGTCTGAATCTGCAAAAACAATGAGAAGTCCTGTGGCACCTTATAGACTAACACATTTATTGGAGTATAAGCTTTCATGGGCAAAGACCCACTTCATCAGATGTATCCTAAACTGATAGTGTCAAATTTGCAGATGAGTTGTGGCTCTGAAGTTTCTCTTTTAAGTCTTCAAAGATTAAATGAAGACTGCAAATGGCTAGCCAACTGCACAACCAGTTTCTCCTCTCTTGGTGTTCACCCCTCCACATCAGCTGCTAGAAGTGGGCCTCATCCTCCCTGACTGAATTGAACTTGTTATCTCTATCCTTACTCTTGACTGGAACTCTTTTCAGATGCCTGTATATTTATACCTGCCTCTGGAATTTCTACTACATGCATCTGACGAAGTGGGTCTTTGCCCCTGAAAGCTTATGGTCCAATAAATCTGTTAGTCTATAAGATGCCACAGGAATTCTCATTGTTTTAGGACTGAAATAGAGATTAACCCCATCTTTCAAACTCTGTTTTGGTGAGTTTGTGTAACCCCAAATTGCTCCATGCTCACCAGCCCAACCCCAGATGGATTGTACCTCTGTTTCTACTGCATTAAACTGTATTTTCAGTCCATTTTGAATTGTACCATTTCATAAACTCCTGATTTTAAGAAGGTTTTACTTAAGACATTTGTAAAATTAGGATTTACCTCTAATACCTTTAAGAAAGTTTCGGAGAAACTTGATGTGGATAATAAAGTCATAATCTGGTTCCAATATTTAGAGTGCACATATATCAAGAAAATATGGTGGCTTTTAATTTAAATATTTTGTGAAGCCAGACAACTTTTTCTTGAATGGTGAAAGAATGCCCAGAGTGAGGATCACTATCAAAGCCTAAGCAAATGGGTGTTGCATGGGGCATATGTGCCTGGGCTTAGGACCAACAGTATTATCTCCTTCTTGCAGTGCATAGTACAACTGCCCCCAGCAACTGGTAGAGCCCATGGGCTGTAGTAAGTAATAAATGATTCCTCCCCTACTCTACCTCTCCCCCAGGGGGGTTTTCAGTAGGGGTTCTGCATTATTGTGGAGATACTGGCTCTGTTCTGCCTCCATGCCACAGAGGCTATGTCTAGACTGCAAGCCTCTTTTGAAAGAGGCTCTTTCGAAAGATACTTTCGAAAGAGGCTCTTTCAAAAGAGAGCGTCTAGACTGCACGTTGAACTTTCGAAAAAGCGGCTTGCTTTTTCGAAAGAAAGCATCCAGTGAGTCTGGATGCTCTCTTTCGAAGAAGCCCTATTTACATTGAAGAACGCCTTCTTTTGAAAGAGGAACTTTCGAAAGAAGGCGTTCTTCCTCGTGAAATGAGGTTTACCGCCATCGAAAGAAAAGCCGCGTTCTTTCGATTTAATTTTGAAAGAACGCGGCTTGAGTCTGGACGCAGGGGAAGTTTTTTCGGAAAAAGGCTACTTTTCCCGAAAAAACCCCTGAGTCTGGACACAGCCAGAGAGAGAGCAACCACAGAGCACTGTTGCAAACACCCTGATACAGCCTTCCCATAGCTTGTCCTCATTTTGTTTGGTGGAACATATAAGGAATTAGGCAGCATGCCCAGCCCCATGAAAGAAAACAAAGTTCAGTGCCTTATGGTGAAATCATGGCTCTGTTGGCACTGAAGACAAAATTCCCACTGACTTCAACAGGACCAAGATTTCACTTGAGTGTAAAGCACGTTAATTGAGGTCATAACACAGGGTTTATTGCTGCTAGTCATGTTAAAGCTAATTAATGGAAGATGGAATTATTTCTACCTCAGCGTTATAATGTTAATAGGTTTTGGCACATGAATAGCTTGGTTTTCTTCCTGAAAATAAGACCTATTATAAATTATGCCCTTTACTAGAGAGGACTGCTAAGATAAAAATGAGGCATTATTTTAGGTGCTTTGTGAGTTGCTACAAAGATACGATACAGTTCATCTGAAAAAAGCAGCTAGGAATGAAAGGACTAGGCATTTTAGGATCAATCAAAACATTCAGTTTTGAACAGCCCTGATGTAATGCCTTCCTTTAAAGAGTATACAGCTCACTGCTTTGTGTTCTGACAGTATTTCCCCCCTCAGGCAGCAAACATAAGGATTGTCAGTTTAATTGGAATTTCTAGAGTCTAAGCAACCAAATAGCTGATCTTCCTCAGCTCTTCTAAAAGACAAAATGCAAAATAAAACAACAGCATCATGGGAATTAGATAAACATGGGCATTCATCCTGTTCACACTCTGCAGTGCTTACGTAAATGAGACTAGTTTTGATTATCATATTTTAGGAAGAACTTTCCTATGCTTGTGCAGATTAAAATCACATTGGAACAGCTGCTATTGCCCAGATTCATGCAGGCTAAACTGATTGTTCATAACAGTCTGATAGCTGTTTGTTAGCATCCTTAAAAGGGGGAAGAGAGATGGCTGAAGTTCCTGCAGTTACATAGAAAAGCAAGTGATTTTCCTACAGAATGTTCTTCTTTAATGAGTTATTTTATCATTTTTGAGCAGTAAACAAACAAAAACAGGTTTTTTTTTTTCAAAATTGCTACCCCTCTTCCTTTCTAAGTATGGAGACTGGGTGCATAGAACAACATTGAGATAAATGCAATTTAGAAGTTTCATTTCACTGAGCTCTCAATATTTTAAGGTGCTGAGGTGCTTACTGGGCATTTAGCACCTGACCACACTTAAAGTTTAGCATGTGAATTCTACTGACTTATATTTAAAAAAAACCAAACATAGACATAAAGAGGCACACGTGGAAGGGCAACTAAGGAAAGAGAGTATGGCTGTAAGTATGGGGATTAAATTTAGCTCCATATTTAACAAATTAACCAAATATTTCTCTTTAATTCATTTATTACAAATCTAAAAT